CTGCCTCAGCCTCTTGGGTGCTGACACTCCAGGCCCACACCCCACACTCCAGGCCCACACCCCCACGCTTAGCCCTCCGGCAGTTCTTGGAGATTACTGGGTTTGTCATTTCCGTGCCAGTCAGTGTGCCACCAGAGAAGCATAAGAAGTACTATGCAAACAGGCCAAGAAACCAACCCTAGAGAATGGATGCTGGTGGCTGTGGTGGCCGGGATGGATGTCATGCCTCAGAGGCTGGCTGAGCAGCTCTGCAAGGCTGTCAAGGGAAGGGGGCTGAAGCATCCAACAAGATGGGGTGCTGCAGGCTATGGGCGGGATCTTTCCCCTCCAGGGAAACATCTATCCTGTTCTTGGGTCAAGTCCACCAAGATCATCCGTGGCAATGTCCTCTAGTCAGATGGCTAGAGCTGTTGAGGGTCTTCAGAATGCCTTCATCAGATGGCTAGAGCTGTGCAGGTCTTCAGAATGCCTCCATCAGATGGCTAGAGCTGTGCAGGTCTTCAGAATGCCTTTATTAGATGGCCATAGCTGTGGCAGGTCTTCAAAATGCCTTCATCAGATGGCCATAACTTGCAAGTCTTCAGAATGCCTTTATTAGATGGCTAGAGCTGTGCAGGTCTTCAGAATTTCAGAATGCCTTCCTAGTACTGTGCCCTGAGTGTTTTGACTGAGTAACCAGTTTTGACAGCTAAGCTGATGTATATAACTGACCAACACAATGTATATAACTGACCAACACAGTGTCTCCCTCTGCTGCCTTCCTTCCCTCTTTACTCCCGGGCACTTAGGGGTTTCTTTTTTTTTTTTTTTTTTTTTTTTGAGACAGGGTTTCTCTGTATTGTTTTGGAGGCTGTCCTGGAACTCACTCTGTAGACCAGGCTGGCCTCGAACTCACCGAGATCTGCCTGCCTCTGCCTCCTGAGTGCTGGGATTAAAGGCATGCTTAGGGGTTTCTTAATGCACAAATGCTCATTGTGATTCGAAGGAGCAAGCCACCAGGGTTTCAAGGCTTACAGCATGATCTTTTGTTCTCCAAATGTTTCACAATGATTTTAACAACAAAAACCTTAAATTCTGTCTTCCCCAGGTGTCAGGATGAAGGAAGATCTGAGGGGAATAAACCCAGGAAGTCCTCAAATACCATTCCCAGCAACCATGTCATCTCGGGACCAGGCTTGTGTGCAGCTCCTACTCCTGGGTGTGAAGGCGTAGGCCATAGCTGGGGGTGCTGTTTTGGAAGGTTGTGGAATCTTTAGGAAGCAGACCTTCACGGGAAGAAGTGGGTCTTTGTCAGAGGAAGAGGACCCTCACTGGAGGCAGTGGACCCTTACGGGAGGAAGTGGACCCTCATGGGAGGCAGTGGACCTCCACGGGAGGAAGTGGACCTCCACGGGAAGAAGTGGGTCTTTGTCAGAGGAAGTGGACCCTCACGGGAGGAAGTGGACCTCCATGGAAGGCAGTGGGTGTTTGAGGTCAGACACTGAGGTTCTATAGTCCACCCCCAGTCCGTGTCTGCTCTCTGCTTCCTGTTCTGCCAGGACAAGCAGTGAGGAGGCCCAAGTGCTCACTCCAGCCACCATGGGGCTGCCTGCCGTTGTGCACCCCACGCCCATGATGAACTGTGTCAGCACCCCTCAAACTATGAGCCGCGATCAAGCCTTCTTTTTTTTTAAGTTGCTTCATGCAGGCATTGGTCAAAGTGACAAGAAAGATAACAAGTACTGACCTTTTGACTCATCTTCTTTCTTTTTTAAATTTATATCATTATTATTATTATTATTATTATTATTATTATTATTATTATTATTAGAGAGAGGGGTTCTCTGTATTGTTTTGGAGGCTGACCTGGAACTCACAGAGATCTGCCTGCCTCTGCCTCCCGAGTGCTGGGATTAAAGGCTGGGATTAAAGGCGTGCTCCGCCACCACCGGGCCTCTTCTTTCTTTTGGGATGAGTACATTCTTGGACGTGCCGTGCAGTGCCCTTTGCCCCTCTCTGACTCTCTCTCTGGCTTCTTCGATGTGTTCTTGGGTCTCTACTCCGAGTTTTCCCGGTTCCCTCCTTGTCTGGATTTTGGTGTTGCCCTTTCTCTGCCTGATGTATCCCTACCCATAACACCTTCTTTACAGGGCGCCTGACCTGGTCGTTTCACCTGGATATTTTTCCATCGTGTCCACGTGTGGACGTCTATGCCACAAATAATCTGAAACCTTACACGGGTGGCATTTGTCTCGTGTGCATTCTTGTTAAGTGTTCCTTTCCACCAGAGCTGGGAGGCACGAGCACAGGAATGGCATCCGATTTCCTTCTTTACATCTCTGACCTCAGTAAGAATATGGAGCATGGACAGGCACCTCCCGTTTGGGAGAAGTGAATACATGATAACCTTTTGTATGCCTGTTAAGGTCCAACACAGGATGTAAACTTCCTATGTGAGTGGTATATTACTAACCAAATGGCAGAAAAACAATGGAAACACATTCTCTTCCAGTTCCGCAAGCTTTGCGTGTGAAGCTGGGCCACCACCAAACCAGCTGGCAAGATTAATGCTTTTCCTCTTCCAGCTTCTGGCCGTACTCGGCTTGTCCCATCTCCGTCCTCCTATGGCCGCCTCCCCTGTCCGTCTGTATCTGTTCTGTACCCTTGTCTCACCAGGAAACAGTCACACCGGGCTATGGGCCCACCCTGACTTCGTTTAGTGACTGCTAGACCCCATTTCTATTCACAGGCACCAGAAGATTTCAATGTATTTTTTCCCTATGGCAAAACACAAATTAACCTGTAACACTAGCATTTAGAAAAATATAAAATAGCTGATACCAAAGATTTTATGGAACATATAGTAATATGTTTATGAAATTATACAGTAATAGAACTATGTAAATGTCCCTAAACCTTGATCAGAACTATTATTGTATAACTGGCTAGGTTTTAACTAAAGCCAGTTATATCTTGTTCACAAATATACCAGGAATAAACACTCCTTTTTGTAATTTCATACAACTGATAAATTGACTTTTGCTAGTTAACTTAAGTACTTTTTAATCTTATGGAAGCAATTGATATTTTAAAAAAAGCTTTTCAGTTGGTGTCAAGTGTCCAAGATCTAAATCATAGCTCTGCTATTTAGACTGCACTAAGTCTGATTCCCTGTGTGAAACTGCTGTCAGTAATACTCAAGATGATACTATTCTCATGACCAAATAGAATTAATGTAATTCATAGGCACATAAGAGCTGCCAAACATTAATTTCTTCCTTCCTTGCAAAATAAATTATCTTGTATATTATTAGAGAAGATACGCAATACTACATACTGACACATGTTTGCCCATACGAGGAAGAGGTGTTCGCGTGTGAGGCAGAGGTGAACCTCAAGCATTCTCTTCATCAGTCTCCCACTGGGACCTGGGACTTGTCACTTCAGTAGACAGTGAGCTCCAGGGATCTGCTTCCTCAGAACTGCAAGCATGTACCACCATGCTCAGATGGGAATTCCTGTCCTCATATGTGAACAAGCACATTACCAACCGAGCCATCGCCTAGTCCCAGGACCAAGTCTTTTACTTCATCATCTGTTCATTCATTGACAAACTATCTACCAAGTACTTCCTATCTTCTAGTCCCCATGCCAGACAGGCAGGAAGGAAGCGGCTGCGATTGTACAAGGTCACTGCGCTTGCAGAGTTTATGTTCTGGGCACCGGGAAGTTGGAGGATGACAGCAATTCAAAGGATGACTTTAGCAGCAATGACTGATGGCAGGAAGATTATTTGCCAGCATTGTTGTAATTCACTCATCAGATGATGGGAACAGAAGCGCTCGCCCAATTCGGCTCACATCATCATCATTCCTATAACTACATCGCTCACGCCTTCCCCACCACACATCTCCTAGTAATGGCACCCACCCTCTTCACTGTGCTCTCATCAGAAAGGATGTCTCTGCAGTATCCGTCTTTACATCGAGTGGAGAAGATTCATAGTGACAGCGGTAAAGATGACTAGAGCATGATGGGAGATGTCCTTCTGTATACATGTTTCTCTTATTGGTTGATGAATAAGACACTGTTTGGCCAATAGCCAGGCAGAAGGATAGGCGGGGCTAACAGGAGACGGCTGGGGAAGAGAAGGCCAAGGGGGACCTCGAGGAGATGCCATGAAGAGACCAGGAAGACAGGGCATCCCAGGCGTTCTCTGGTAAGATAAGGCCATGTAGAAATACAAAGACTAGTAGTTATGGGTTAATAATTAAGTCAGGACTAGTCGATTAGAAGCCCTAGCCATCAGCCAACAGTTTAATAATTAATATAGCATCTGCGTGTTTATTTGGGGCAAAGTGGTTGTGAGACCAGGCGGGACAAGAACCTCCATCTTCAGTAGCGAGAACAACACAGTCATTGAAGCTGATCAGCCAGCCTCCTGCTCTTGCTGCCATGATGGTGACAGTCTTCCGAGCCACCATGAACTTTAACCTCTGCAACTATAAACTAAAATAAACTCTTCCTTACATCGCTTTTGATCATGTTATTTTGTCATAGTAACAGAAAAGCAATTCATACAATAGTGTACTGGAAGAAACAGATTTTTACAAGCTGGTTATGTAGGCTGAAAGTTGCAGAATTATTTATCCCTAAGAGCTTGGGTGAAATCTTTGGGGTTTGTGTGGCCACCAATAGACAATTGTATACTTTCTTTCCGGTTTTTGGATATCTATTATTTCCTTTTCTAGCCTACTACTTTTGGACAGAATAAATCTCGTTTTCTTTTTTTTTTCAATTATTTTGAGGCAGAGTCTCACGTACCCAAGACTGACCTCAAGCTCACTTTGTAGTTTGTAGGAGGAAGTCTGATGCCGCCATTAAACATGTGACTTATTAGAGGCGCATACAGATGAGGTAATAAAAGGGCAGTTTACCACACCGCTAACCACACCCACTTTAGGCAGGACTAAAGACGTATACGGCTGGACGTAAAGACATATACGTACGTAGGCGGAACTACGTCACTAGCCAGGCCCACTTTTGGGCATGGCTAGGGGGCGTTACGGGGGAAGGCATAAAAGACAGCACACAGGAAGTCTCGGTCTCTTTTCCTGGAGTTCGGTTCCGGTCCGACAGCTGAAAACTGCTCGGCTCCTCTGGGTTTGGTATCTTGTGAGTAATTTCTACATTAAATACTTAGCTTTACTTTCAGTAATTGTGTGTCGCGTATCGTTACAGCGTCCATTGAAGCCTACAGTAGTTGAATGTAACTTTGTGCTTATCTCAACTTCGCAAGTCCGGGGAGGACAGGCGTGTGCCACTATGCCGTGTCCTGTGAAGCTGTGTGGATTGACCCCAGGGTTTTGCACATGCTAGCAAAGCGTTCTGCCAACTGAACCATATCCCTAGGCAAATCTGGATAGATGCCAGCAGTTTGGATGGAGGTGGTAGGAGTTGGCATCCTTGCCTCACGCCTGTCTTAGAGAGCGTGACAGCCACTGCTGACTTCTCATAGGAAGTACTAAGGTACTTTCTTCCTGGCTTGTCACTGAGTCCGGAGTTCACCAGTTCAGCAAAGTGCGAGCAAGATCCACAGGCCAGCACATTACTGTCCCCAGGGTTAGGAGTGCAAGGCATGTGCCTCCAGGTCTAGTTTCTCATGCTCATCATGACATCAAAATGAATTGTTTGGAAACATATAAATTCTGTATGGTCCAAGCTTTAAAACACTATGTGGTAAATTGGATGGTGATGGAATCTGCCCTTTAGTGTGCTAACTCCTCAGCCCGTTAATGGTCACTGTGTGGATTCTCTTTCCAGAATCTAGCAAATGATTGATCAGCAAATGAACTACTCTCAAGTAGCTGGACCAGGGAAAGGAACGAGAAAGTGCTTATTCATGACACTAGGTGGCAGACCTATACACGGTTTGACTTCCCTCTGGGCTCTGGAAAGCTGTGAAAAGAAAATGATAACTCTCTTAAGAGGAACCCCAGGAGAGTTTCTGGCCATGAAGGGGACATTTTGCTCATACTTAAAGCATATTTGGATTTATTACATTTTTTTCTAAAAGAAATTTGTGCTCCGAGAAACTTTGCCAAGTCCAAGACCTTACCTTAAATTTCAAATATTCCATCCCTAAAGAAGGAAAATGAATTAACTAGTCATACAGGTACGTGGTGGGAGAACCAGGCAGTTCTCAGGTCCCTGTCTGCTCATGCCAAAAGCACATACCATGGCCTGTGTCTAGAACCAGTTATAGTTTTTGCTTTTAAATTCTGATGATCCCAGCACCAGCATCTGGGAGGGAGAGGCAGGAGAACTGCCTCAAGTTCAAGCCAACCCGGGATAAGTAGTGAGTTCCAGGCCAGGGCTACAAAGCTGCCCCTGCCCCAACACACACACACACACACACACACTCAATAAATCTTTCCTCTCCCCTCATGGTGCTAAGAAAGATGAAGTTGGAGCTGCAAAAAGCATTTTACTAGCTTAGGTACAATCCTGTCTGTCCATTGGACAGTGCATTTGCTTGAAGGGCTTTTCTACAACACAAGTCCTGCTGTGTTTCTGCTTTTAAGACCACTCGGCATGTTAGTTGCTTGCTTTGCCTGGGTCACTTCCTGTTTCTCTCGGGCTACATGCTGGTTTCTACGAGCCATCCCGCTTCGCCTCACTTCTTTTCTTGCCCAGATAAAAATTCTCCTTTCTTCCTTCAGCTTAAGGAGCTTCTCACTCTGTGCTGGCGGCAGAGGTCAACTGAGCAGCGGGGCAAAGCCGGGAGCTGCATCCCCACCCACCCACGCCATGCTGTTTTCTGTCTGACCGCGCTACTATGCGGGTCTAGGAAAGGTGGCATCTGATAACAGAGTTTCGGTTCTGCCTGGTCCCAAAGCGCTACCGGCTGAGCTATCGGGACTGGTAGGCCCACTTCAATTGTCTCAATCGTAAAACCAACCTCAACTTGAATGTGTGCTTGTTAGCTGCGTCCCGCCTCCTGAGACACTAGTGGGCTGGCTCTCCCCCTAAGTATATCCCGTAGTTAAATGCCCTGTGTGAGGTTACAGCTGATTTCTCGGCTGTCTGTAAACTCTAGAGTTTACAGTTGTGCCTTCAAGTTATTGTACTGGCCTTTATTTCCAGTTCCTCTTTTAGAAAAAAAGATTTATTTTACCTTTAGACATGTGGGGGGGGCTCTTAGAGACCAGAAGAGGCAATCAGATCTGTGAGCTGGAGTTATGGGCAGTTGTGAGCTTCCCCACATAGGTGCTGGAGCTGAACTCACTTCCTCTGCAAAAGCAGCAAGCATTTGACCACTGAGCTACGGCTCCATCCCCAACCCAGTCCCTTTCTTCAAACTTCTGAATTACTCTCTTTGAATTGAGCACCTCTGTTGCCCCAACTCAGAGACAACATATTTTATCACGTTCATATTTGCTGCTTGCACAACATAATATTCCTTATTTCTTATCAGCAGGAATGAAAATGATGGAATTGGAGTTTAAGAATAGAAACAAAAGAACTTGAGTTTGGATGGTGTGTCGGATACTTTTACGTCACGATGACACAAGCTGAAAGTATCTGATGGAGGGCCTCCGTTAAGAAAACGCCTCCTTAAGACTGGGATGTAAGCAAGCCTATAGGGCATCTTCTTAGTGATGGAGGGGGAAGGCTCATCCCATTGTGGGTAGTGTCGTCCCTGGGTTCTATAAGAAAGCAGGCTGAGTAAGCCATGAGGAACAAGTCTGTAAGCAGCATCCTCCATGGCCTCTGCATCAGCTCCTGCCTCCAGGATCCTTCCCTATTTGAGTCCTGGCTTCCTTTAATGATGGAAGTGTGAGCCTAATAAACCCTTTCCTCCCCAACTTGCTTTTGGTCGTGGTGTTTCATCACAGCAATAGAAACCCTAACTAAGACAGGTGGGATGCAGACTCCATCAACTCCAGCTTACCACTAGGTGCTGGCCTCCTTTGTGAACTGTGCTGTTCCGCTTCCGAGTTACAACTTGGCAAACGTTTGCCGGTTGTTGCCGGTCTCTGCTCTAGGTTCTGTGTTATTGGTTCCTTCCCACGGTTCTCCCGTAGCTCGTTCTGATCCTTCTCCACCTTGGCTGTTGGATATGTTTGGGTGATGGTTGGATCTGGCTGTCAGCCTGACTAGATGGACGGATAGTCTGGGCATGTCTGTGACTGTGTTGCCTAAAACAAGCAGGTCCTGAAGGTCTGTGGTGGTGACAGATTACTCCCTGGACAAAATCATAATCTGATAGTACGTTGAGAGGTGCTGAAAGTGGGGGTGGGATTTAGTTGGAGGAAGTGAGTCCTTGGGTGCCCCTGTACCCCACCTCTCTGCTTCCCACCTGCCACGATGATGTAAGCTGCCCCACCACCATGGACTGAATCCTCTAAAACTATGAACCAAAATACGCAATCACTTAGAGTTGTTTTCTTGGGTATTTGTCACGTGTGTAAGAGAAGTAACTAATACAGGCCCAGTCTGTACCACAGCCCAAGGAGCAGACAGAGGGGAGGGCTGTCAGACACCAGAGCTGACCAGGAAGTGTCTGGAGGGAAAAAGGCGGTTCTGCTGAAGGCAGAAGCTCCCTCTCCCATGCTGTCTCCTTCATTAAACACTTCTACTTTCCAGTTTATAGTTTTCTTTTTCTCTTCTATTCCTAGCTTTATTGCTAGAAGATAATTTGGTCATTGCAAAATAATCAACATGGAGCCTGCAGCAGAGGACAATCTCTTGAGTGCTGAACCCAATAATCAACATGGAGCCTGCAGCAGAGGACAATCTCTTGAGTGCTGAACCCTTCTCTTTGTCATGCTCAGGTGCTCAGGGCCACAAGAGCACTGATTTTACCACTACCGTGAACTTCAAATTACAGGACTCAGGCCGCCCATAAGTGCAAAGCAATTTAGCGGTGGAGCCAGGACAGCGGCCTGACCTTTCCTCCTCACCATTCCCTTCTCTTTTCAGTTAATTTGCTCCATTCTTTTACCACAGATTACAAAACTGAAATGAAGAAACTCAGCACCAAAGCCTAAAGCCAGAGGCCGCATTTGCATTGCACAATTGCCTTGTTGTGGAAAGACAGCTTGCTATGTGCACATCGTGTTTGACACAACTTCTGGGTGAAGCAAAGCCGCATCCGAGTCTCGGCTTCACAGCATATGGATATTTTCTCGCCGGTGATTTAAAAGTGATTTGTGACCGACTGCAGGAAGCCGATCAGCGGACACCTGACTAGCCTGTGACTCTCAGCTGGAGCCGCTGGGCGGGATAATTTTAATGAACAAAGACATGAAAGGGAACTTTCTGGAACCAGAGTCCTGGAAAGGAAGCTCACAGTTGTCAGAGTTGGGAGTGTAAGTCCTCAATCTTCCAGCCTGAGGTAGGGCAGCAGGCAGCCTCTGAGGTAACCTGGTTCAGTGGAAGCATGTGACTTCCCCATTTGCAAAGCGGAGTTACTGCTTAACCCTTAACCACGCTCGGCCCTTTTGTCAGCCCACGCCTCCATTAGATGTTCACATTTAGTACAGCAGCACTGAATGAGCCCAGATTCCCAACTCCTCCATAAAGAAGAAGGGAGGGGACTGTGGCACAAACTGTTGTGGAATGCTCTTCTGGGGGCATGACATGAACACTGCCATCTTGAAATCAGAACATCTGTGATGACAGCTGTCACTAGACTACTGGGACTGATGAGTCCCTCATGGAGAGGGGAGAGGGACCAGAAAGGGACACATGGGGCCTCAGTCCCCCCCCCAGGATCTAGAGGCCTCATCCCTCCCCAGGATCTATAAGCCTATAAGCAGCTAACATTTTCAAGCAGCCCTCTTTGGTAGCATAAAAGGAATCACAGTTAAAATCGCCAATTTTAAGTTCAACTTGAGTGGAGTTGTTTCTTATATGTCTCAGATGTCCTAGTGGATTCAGAGATGTTTGTCCAGATCGCCCCAGGTAATTTTTGGTTAAGAGTTGGTCTCCCACTATAGTTCAAGCCTGGAATTCACTCTGAAGTCCAGGCTGGGCTGTAACAATCCCCCTAACAGAGCCTGTCAAATACATCATTATTTTATAATTCTACTACTAATCTGATGAGCGTCTGGCCTACATTTAAAATGGAGAAATGTGAATGCTTTCAAAGCAGCGGATAAGAAAAATGTAAGGTTCAAAATACCCCGCCAAAAGTGGCCCCTTTGGTAACCATCGGCACGAACGGCCTTGTAAGAAAGAGCACACAGAGTAACCCATGGGTAAAGACACTGTATGTCAAAGAAACTTCTTTCAAATACTGGATTTCAAGACTCAGAAGGACCAGGTGGGTAAAAGCACAGCATCCACTGCCAGATGCTCTTGAGAGCAGGCTCTGACTCATCCAATAATCCCAAACTGAGCAAGCTCATGCAGCTCCAGGTGACTGAATGCTTCCCAGGGACAGATCACCGTGATATCTGCAAGAGATAGAAAAATACCTCAGCCAACCATTCACCTCTCCTGCAGAAATAAAAGACACCTCCAATCAGTTGCACCCACCCATGTGCACACACACACACACACACACACACTCAGACACACACATGCACACACGCTGAAGAATGAACACACAGATATTTTATTCCTTAATGCCAATACTTGAAAGAAATCAAGATGTCCTTCAATAGAATGCACTCATAAAATAAAATATTGTTTAGCAATAAAAATGAAGAAGCTGTTGGGGTTGGGGAAATAGTTCAGTGGTTAAGAACACTGGCTGCTCTTTTAGAGGACCTGGGTTCACTTCCCAGCACCCACACCGGAGTTCACAAGCACCTGTAACTCTAGTTCCTGGGGATCCAATGCCCTCTTCCAGCTTCCACTGGCACCAAGAACACACATACATACATGGGCAATGAACACGCACATAAAATGAAAATAAAGAAATGAGCTGTTGAACCATAAGAAGACAGAAGACGCGTGAATAAATATTGCTAAGTGAAAGAAATTAGGATAGGAAAGCTCAATACTATTTAATAAATGTCTTGTGGTGTTCAGAGGTGTGCAGCTGGGGAAGGAAAACATTACCCAGTGGAGGTGAGGGAAGGTTTGGGACAGTGACACTGGTCTGTCTGTATGATGACAGTTACACGGCCTTACATGATCATTAGAATCCTTAGAACCATACGGTATCAATGAGCCCCAAACTATGTGTGCTGTGGACTTTTGTCAAGGCAGCAAGAGTGATTGATAGCGACTCATCACACTTGACAAATGTGCCAGACCCATGCACTCTGTTCATTACTGGGAACTGTAAAAAAGGGAGTGACGGTGACGAGAGTTCTCTGGACCTTCTGCTAAATTCTTTTGTAAATCTAAAACTTCTTTTAAAACTGTTTGTTGATCTTTTTAAAGCCACCTATAGCAATTACAGTCACTATGTAAGGAAAGAGGACAGCCCAGCCAACTAGAAGAATTGCATCAGATGCACTCAGTGTGAGCATCACTGTCCTGTTCCTGGTGCTGGGAATACCCCATCCCTGGTGCTATGCATACCCCTGTTCCTGGTGCTGGGAATACCCCATCCCTGGTGCTATGCGTACCCCTGTTCCTGGTGCTGGGAATACCCCATCCCTGGTGCTATGCATACCCCTGTTCCTGGTGCCATGTGTACCCCATCCCTGAATCTATGTCTACCCCTGTTTCTGGTGCTATTTCACCTCTGTTCCTTGTGCTGGGTGTACCCCTGTTGCTATTGCCATGGGTGCCCCAGGTCCTGGTGTTATAGAAGAAGAGGAACTTGGTGGGTTGCCAGACAGGGAGAAAGAGCTTGCTAGACCCTGCCCCTTTTCCCAGTTCCTCAAGCTGTGGCTTCACACTGACACTCAGTCTGCCTCAGATCCACTTCTGAAAAGTGAAGTTGGAATGGATCACCTCTAAGAATCTTACATCTCACAAGCCTACAGCTGACTGCGGCGTTCACTCAAGGCTGTTTAATAAAACAACAGACACCATTAGACTTCACACTTACTTTCATTTCTTTTAGCATTTTTGCATGTAGGTAGACACATGATTAAAAGGTTAAATTAAATCTCCACCTTTCTGTCTTCAAATGATCACATGATGTGGGTGTTGAAACTTCAAAGTGTCTCTTGAAGCTGGAAGTTTCTGCAAAGAGGAAACTTCAAAGCAACATGCTCACTTAAAAGTGTCATAGCTCACCTGTTCCTAGTCCCTCCATGCCTGGGATGTCATCTCCAAACCTATACCAAAAAACAGATGGATAAAACAGACATTAGCTGAGATCAGAGGTGAAGGTTCCTGGAACTACTCCCTGGAAGGTTTCTTCACTCAAAGGGAAAGAGGTGCTAAGTGTTTTATTTGAGGCACTTATATCCACACTGAACAAGACCCAAGAAGATGTCACTCTGTTGGGGGTTCAGTGTATCCTAAACAGGGAGTAGGTATACTTCACCTCTAGAGACAGGATGGTCTTGAACCTGAACTGCTGATTCTTCTGCATCTCCATAGCTCTGGGGTTACAGGCACAAGCTCTCACACCCAGTTCATGCAGTTCTGGGAGCTAAAAAGAGGGCTCACCACAGGCCAGGTAAGTGCTCTGGGACTGACCCCAAGCTTCATTTAAATACTGTGTGTGTGTGTGTACCTGTGTGTGTCTGTGTCTGTGTGTGTACCTCTGTGTCTGTGTCTGTCTGTCTGTCTGTGTGTACCTGTGTGTGTCTGTCTGTGTGTGTGTGTGTGTGTGCCTGTCTGTGTGTATCTGGGTATCTGTGTATGTGTGTCCTTGTGTGTCTGTCTGTCTGTCTCTGTGTGTGTCTGTCAGTCTGTGTCTGCCTGTGTCTGTCTGTCTGTGTGTGTGTACCTGTATGTGTGTACCTTTGTGCGTATATGCCTGTGTGTGTGTACCTGTCTGTGTGTGTGCCTGTCTGTCTGTGTCTGCCTGTGTCTGTCTGTGTGTGTCTGCCTGTGTCTGTCTGTCTGTATCTGTGTCTGTCTCTGTGTGTGTGTGTCTGTCTGTCTGTGTCTGCCTGTCTGTGTGCCTGTGTTTCTGAGTCTGTATGCCTGTCTGCATGTCTGTTGTGTGTGTGTGTGTGTCTGCATGTCTGTGTATGTCTGTCGGTGTGTCTGTGTTTCTGTCTGTCTGCATGTCTGTGTATGTGTCTGTCTGTATCTGTGTCTGTCTGTGTGTGTGCCTATCTGTCTGTCTGTATGCCTGTGTGTCTGTTTCTGTGTGTCTCTATGTGTGTGTGTATCTTTGTGTCTGTCTGTGTATCTGTGTGTCTGTGTCTGTATGTCTGTTTGTGTGTGCCTATGTTTGTGTGTGTGCCTATGTGTGTGTCTGTGTTTCTGTCTGTGTGTCTGTGTCTGTATGTCTGTTTGTGTGTGTGTATGTTTGTGTGTGTGTCTATGTGTGTGTCTGTGTCTGTCTGTCTGTGTGGCTGCGTGTGTCTGTCTGTATCTATCTGTGTCTGTGTGTGCGGGAACGCCATGGTGTGCATGCAGAGGTCAGAAGACAGCTTTGTGCCCTCAGTTCTGTCCTCCACCTTTATGCGGGTGGGCTGTGGGAACTGGACACTGAACACTCAGATTGTCTAGTCAGATCCCAACCCACAAAACCACCCTGACAGCCCTCAGTCTTCATTTCTTAACTATGGAGATGACTGAGCAGGAAGACATCTACATTAGTAATTAATATACCATATTCTGGGCATCACATTAGGCCCAGAATATTAAAGAAAAAAACAAATTTTCTCTGAGTAATCTTAGTGCAAGTGAAAAGATATAAATAAATATAGTACAAAAAGCATAGGTTATGATGGCTGAATGCACCATACTATAAACATGAATGTGATTATGAAGTTTAAGTAGAAGTAAAAGAGAAATTAACATCTGAGGGATGTGTTGAAAATAATTGTTTTCCAAAGAGCGGTAGAGAAAAATGGAGAACTGAAGAAATAAGACATGAAGATAAACAAACAAGTCAACAACAGCAAAAACAAAACAAAAGCCAGCATTCTCTGGAAATGACGGATCGTTCAGAATCCCAGGTTAAAGCACGGAGTATGTCTGTATAACAGAACAGAGGCCGCTCAGTAGTTAAGAGGTTGCTGCTCCTGCAGAGAGGGGACCGGATTTTGGTTCCCATTTCTCGAATTGGGCAGTTCCCAATAGCCTGTAATTCCAATTTTGAGAATCCGACGCTCTCCTCTGGCCTCTTCTGGAACCTGCACTCAAATGCATATACCCACACAGAGACATACCATATTTACACATAATTAAAGTAAAATAAGTTTTTAAACATTATTTTTTAAAAAGAATAGACAGGAAAAATCTGGACGGTCAAGTCAAAGGACATTGTGAAAAGCTCCAGTTTCCTTTTGAAACGGGCCAATCTCCTGGTGGTTTACAAGGGAAACCACTCCAGGGACACAGACAGGATTAAGCAGAGATGGATGGCTCAGAGGGGACATGGAGGGCGAGGTGGGCGGTTCTGTGAGTCTGCGCAATAGCGTGATCGGTGCGTTCTCAGAACTAAAGCTCTCTGTGGAAACAGAAGACAACAGCACCTTTCCTTTTCGTCTCGCACTTACCCTTTCACGCCTTTCTTGGGAGGCTTGCTCTTGAACTGTCGAGTCTGCCTCTGCTTGAACTTGGGGGGACCTTTGCGTGGGGTGATGGGACCCTGGCTTGGTGCTGGAGGACCCAGAGAAGCGCTGTCACTCATCTTGGCAGGATGGCTGGTGTTTTGCTTTCCGGCTCGCTGGAGAGCACAAGGAAATGAAGACCCTTGGAATCAAAAGGACTGTTAGCATGCCTTTGAGCGCTTTGAGCTTGGCGTGTTGTGTTGACATAAGCAAACAGGGAGAAATTATTTTTAGAAAATACGCTATAGATCAATGAAGGTATTCAAGAGAGTGCAATGGTCTGTCAACTAAGAGGTGTTGAAAATAAAAACTATAGATTTATGATGGTTGGGAACATAGCTCAACTGGTGGAGTGTTTGCCTAGCATACTCAAAGACCTGGGTCCATATCCCAGCACTGAAAAACCAGGGTTGATAGTGCATACCTGTAATCCAAGTGCTCTAGAGGTAAAGGCAGGGGGAGTTCGAGTTCAAGGTCATCCTTAGCTATATAGCCAATTTGAGGTCAGTCTCAAATACATGAGACCTCTTCTCAAAAAAAAAAAAAACAACCAACCAAACAAACAAAAACTTGGTATCCTTTCTTCCAAAAAAGAAAATCCAACAGCATTTTATCATAATACCCTGTTTCCCCTCAAGAAATTTTATGAAAAGAAGAGGAATTATGTGAGTTATATAAATGATTAGAACAGGTACAGATGTTTTGGGGCTTTATATTTTTTGTTCAGTTACCGACTCGCCTAAAAGACATTTCCTACGATGTGTTCTTTGCCTTGGTCCTCTTTGCTTCATCCTCACTTAACTCAGAGACTCTTCACTTACTTCTGAGGGGTGACAACACGGCCAGCTGGACAGAAGGATTTCTGAACTATGGACAGCAATGAATGTAGTCAGGGTAGCCTGGAACAAACCTGGGGAACAGACCACGGAGGTTGGCTAACGCTTTTGTTCTCTGACTCCCGTGTCCAAATGGAGAGCTCAGCAGCCACACGTCTCTCAGACATCTTGTACATTGCCTCTTGTGCAACCCATGAGCCTATCCAACACTGGATGCCCAGAATGATTTGCCCTCAGACATATGCCTAGCCCTATAAACATAAGCCACAGGAAATAAAATCAACAAAGGTAAACTCAAATAAAACTTCAAGGCTGTCGAGATGGCTCAGAGGTTAGGAGCACTGGCTGCTTTTGCAGAGGACCAGGGTTCAGTTCCCAGCCCCCACATGGCAGCTCACAACTGTCTGTAACTCCAGTTCCAGGGAATCTGACCTCCTCTTCTGTTCTCCAAAAGCAGCAGGAATGCACATGGTACACAGACATGCATGTAAGCAAAACCCCTGCGCACATGAAATAAAATGCATTTTATGTTTTATAAGTTTTAATGCTTTCCTTCATTTTCTTTCTCAACATTCAAGAAAGTTTACATTGGAAAGGAAGGTTCTGAAAAGCTCCAAAGAACTCACGAATAGGTTTAACGACTTTCTCTGAGGCAACGGTTTCCATGATGTAGTGTATGGGGTGCCTTTGCAGAAGGGGCCTTAGTTAGCCTTCCACAGATTAGTGTGTCCCTGTACCTGTCCCTGCCCACCCTTAACTTGTGTTATTTACTCCGCTTGCTCTCACCTCCCTGTGATTCGTGACTTCTACTTCAGAATCTTTGCTTTGGACTTCCAAGACTATTTGTCCTTATTCCTTTTTTTCCTATCGTGCTTACCATTCTTTCCATTCTCAAACTGTTCAACAGGAACACAGCGGCAAATCTGCGAACAGTGCCCGGAATGAACTTGGCTACTACATCGTACTGTTGTCCCCTTTATCTTTATCCTTACTAGAATGTCCTGCGCGTGCCCACTTTTTCAGCTTGGGGTCATTTCTACAGTCTCTAAGCCTACAATAGTGGTTGGCACATAGGTGAGTTTGCTGTATGCGCTGTGTTTGTTGAGCAGGCGAATAAATTGTTGAAGGGATTCAGGGAAAGTCCTTGACTGTGAGTGACGAGCTCTGACCTCATGACTTTTCCATCAGACCACAGAGAAAAACAGTAGCTGGTCCCATGTCACAATGCCCTCAGTGGCTTTAGGGAGGACAGTGCCAGGTCCTCTTGATTACCGAAACTAATTCTTATGCAGCTGACCTCCTCTACCTCTGTCAACAGGCAAGGTTTGTGCCTCTCCAAAGTGTGGTTGGAAATCCAGTAGGCGTGGTGGGCAGCCAGCCAAGGGTAGCATCGCTCTCAGCATGTGTGACCAGCAACTGACACATCACTGCTGTGCCAAAGCCACAGGGGACAACTGGAGAACTCATCTCAGATCAGACTCTTGGACTTTCCAGTTCTTGAAAATATTAATAAATCATGAATCCCCTACTCCAAATCTGAAAAATCGGTTAGAATTGAGATTGCCAGATAAGTAACAAGTTTTTTAGTGAAAATATATTCCAAATTTTATCTATCAAAGATTTCAAATTAGCAGAGTATTTTATATTTTATCTGGAAACTATTGTATTGGAGACAGAGTTCAAAATATGAAGGATTATGTTAACTTTCATAGGTCAAATCACCCTCTGGGGGTAACGGCAGGAAGGGTGAGTCCTTTAGAACCAACTATGTGTGTAGTTTAAAATCCCTGCTCCACAAAGCTGGCCACGTGTCATTGATAAGTTTCACACTCCTTTCTGGGCCCCACTCCATAGAGTGAATCAAAGAAACCCAGAAGCTAATATAAGTATTATATCTGACATAGCATGTTTAAAACCAGGGATTCTATACTAGAGCCCTGAGAAACCAAGAAAGTCAGGCGAACAGATCTAGAGTTGTCACACGTATTCACATCTGGAGTTCTCTCTTCCTCAGCCAAGTGCTGAGGAGTCCCTGCCCTGCACTGGAGTGGACTCTCATACGCCCTTATCGGTGGCTCCTTCAAGTGCCCCAACTATTAACTTATTCCTGGCATCAAAATTCTGCTTCAATATACCTTTTGATCCCTTTGATTTCTCATAGCATACCCCAGAACTTAAAAATCTTACTTAATGTTTGCATACCCTCATCATACCTGCTCTTCAGCATAAACTTCTTTTGCATGTTTGCATAGTTTTGAGTGTGCCCCTCTAGGCTTCGACTGTACTTTTAAGTTTAATGTTTTATATGAAAGGGGATCAGGACTGGGAAGACAGCTCAATGCTTAGGAGCATCTACTACTCTTCCAGAGGACCAGAGTTTAGTTCCCAGCACCCACATCAGGTGGTTCACAACCACCTGGACCACCAGCTCCAGGGATATTCAATGCCTCTGGTCTCAAGCATCCATGATCTCCAGCCTCTATGAGCACATGCATCAACATGCACATACTCACATGTGCACACACATGTAGAATTAAAAATAATAAAAATAAATCCGAGGGCTTCTAACAGGCTTGTAAGGTAGTCATCAGGCTAAACTTGCTTGGTGTCTGGTCTATGAAGGACTGTCAGTCTGTGAGTCTCCTGTGGATGCTGCAATTCAGGATGGCTGGGAGATCTTAGAGAGTTTCTGTCACAGACTTACCTTCCAGGTCTCTGCAAAGCCATTGGGAAGCCCAGGACAGAAATGACCCTTTCTTTGCTTGGAAAAGAATCCTGCTGACTACAGACCTCACCAAGGGCCCAGCTCACCCTGGCTGTGCTCCCTAGGAAATGTGTGCTTCCCTTCTGTCCTGAAGCTGAGTGTGCCCACTCTGAGTACCAGACTTGGCTGCAGTTCACACTTGTGTCTCTCCAAGTGTCAAGACACCCACTATTTTGTGAGAAGACCGGTTTTCCTGTGTTTAATGCAATGCTCACCGTTCCTGTTTCTGAGATTACAAAATGCTCTTCCGTAGAAAGAGGTGGATGTGACAAAGAGATGTGTCCAGGCTGTGTTAGCTACCTGAGGACATGTCACATTAAACCCCATGCAGCAATGCTTAACCCTGCAGAATTACAGAGGACACATCTGTTAGATGTCACCAAGAAAAAAACAGCCGTGGAAGGATTGACACAGGCTTCCCCATGCTGCCTCATCACCCAAGACCTCCAGATCCCCTCAGGAAAGGTATATAAAGACGGACACACTCATGGCTAATGAGTTGAAAGGGAGTAGACATGGACACTGCCATTTCTTTCCCTGATGGATTAGGCCCATTAATGTTACCAGGGCTTCTCTGAGACGGAGAGAATCAGAAAAGTTAGAGACCGGGAAAGGAAGCAAGGCAAGGTCACTAAAAGACAATCCAGCATGTACCTTGCTGCAGAAGAGAGCAAACAAACATTTTAACCTCAGAGGGACAAGGCAACGCCACCCACACTGCCCTGTGGTCACCCCACGCTGCTTTCTCCTCATCCTCACACTATCCCATCAGCCTCAAGTTCACCCTGGGAGTAAAGAACTATTTGTGCTGTGGTTGTGTAATGCCCCAGATCCATCCTTTCCCAGAAAACTGTTTGCCAGGAAGCCGCAAACAGGGAGGGTACCTCTAGGTTCCTTGTGAACAAATTCAGTAATCAAGGTTTGCAGTGAACTGGTAATAAGCCACGATTCACGCACTAGTTTGTCACATGACATTATAAACAGGTTTGGGTGTGTTCTGTCCCATGTTCAACCCCAACCTCAGGTCAGGCCCACAAACCCAGAGTGTTCTCTTCTTGTATGTCTTTGTTTTACTGCCAGATCAACCCTCCAACGTCTTTTAGCTAGCTGTGATTGTGCTCAAACTTACCGGGAGTCAATAACCCAGGGAGCCGAATGCTGTTCCTGCAAGTCCTCCAGTTGGTTCCCTTTTCCACGGCAGACAAGAGGATCTTTGTGTCCTGCTTTACCTCTCCTGCCACTTAAGCCCAACGTCATAAGCTTAGAACACCGGACAGATGCAAAGACGATGGGAGGAGATGAGATGAGACGGAGACAGACTCAGGGGTTTCCTGACAAAGATGGCCAAGTGACAAGGGCATCCTCTAGCAGTGAGAAACATAAAGTTCACAAGACACAAAATGGGGATCACCCGGGACAGACGTTCCATTTTTTATTCAATATTATTTGTGTTTCTCTATTGCCATGATTTTTACTAGACCTGTTCTTCCTTTGCTTACATACCACACACACACACACACCATAATTCTTATAAATCTGTAGGGACTGGAGAAAGCGAGCCATCTGTCATGTCCTCTACCACTGTAAGGCTGCAGGTCATGGAAACGGCGAGAGGAAAGAGGGCAGAACAGCGCTACGGGACATTGTGTGTACTTCCTCATGGATGAAACTTTA